GGACCTGAAAACTTTTCCTTGTGAAAGCTGTTGTTTTTTTTTTTTTTCTTGTAATGGAAAAAAACACCTTGTCTGCTTATTTCCTAGCTGGTTCTAAGTTATGTTGGGCACAGACTCACAAACCTGTTGCCACTGCCAGCTGAGTGCCACAGGTGGCCAGGGGAGGACCTGAATCTTTGTGCTCTGACAGACAGAGCTGCTTCCACTTCAGCCAAAGGAGATTCTGTAAGCGTGATGGATATGTGGATTATGGGCTATTTCTGGAGCAGCCACAGGAGATAACAAAATAAGAAATACGTAAGCAAGCCGGTCTTCTGGCTTCAAGCAGAGCAGGAAGATCTGCAAAGCACCATGCCCACTGGACAGGGAAAGGCTGGTACCCGAGGTGAGCGCAGTCTCCCTCCCTACCTGGGGGAACCTTCTCTTTATCAACAAGAAGGAGGCAGAAGGGCTTTCTGTTTGCTAAGAGAAGAGGACCTGTTGTGGAGGTGGCATTCTCATTCCCAAGGAGATGTGATTCCAGCCCATCAGGCGCTGAGAGCTCACCCTCACCCTGCAAGATGAGGATAGCCGGAGGTGAAGCCACCAAACTGCCCTCACCTCACTGGGCAGAGCTGGGGAACTCAGGACACCCTGTGACATAACACAACGCTATTGGGATGACCCTGCAGTCTTAACCCCTTCATTTCCCTCTTTGTGGGTTTGACGGTGCTGAGTGCTGCTTTGTTGCTGGCTTCTCTTTATTTCTGTGCTTGTGCTGTGCTGTTAGCTGCTTGTGTAGTGGAGCAGGATTGTCTCTTGCATTCTGGTTTTAGACAAAGGGAAAGTCTATTAAGTAACGACTAAAAATCACGGTAGGAAACTTGGAATAGGAGTTATTGCTTTAACTTCGATTTCAGCATCATCACCATGTGAACTGCTTTTCTAGGAAAGCTTTTAATTCTGATACTGGCTGTAAACAATCCTGGGAGATTCAAATGATTTATAAAACAGAATTAAAGTTCTGTCCTCTCTTCTCGAAGCAACACTTGGCTTAGAAATAACGAGACACTACAAATTACTAAACCTATTAATATTTATAGATGAGAATCTCTAGGACCTGGATCTTCTATTGCCGTGGCAGGAAACCTGGCATTAGTTCAAAATAAATGACTATTATTCCAAGAGGTGGAACCACTGGAGAACTAGTTATTATGAAAAGATAAGCATAAAAGCATAAATGATCTTTAAATTATTCCTGGTGCTGTTTATGGATGATCTCAGCCCTGCCCTAGACTCGTACCTGGAACCACTGGGAGCTAAGCAGAAAAGCAGCATACAGGATGCTAGTGCAGATAGAAGTGTGCTGGAAAATATGCCATCAGCAGCAAAACTTCAGAAGCTTGGTTTTCTGTGACTTTCTTGTATGACCTCTCCCCTATGTGAACCATTGCCAGGGAGCTAAGCACTCACTGCAGTATTTTCTCAGTGACAGACACAATTTGTACTACTCCCATTACTCTTTTTATGAGTGCTTAGCTCTCTGAGGCTGATACCTCTGCAAAGCATGGTTGAAACAGGTCTGCAGGTTCAGACACTGTTACTGGGGGATCTGCTGGGCAGAGGCATGCATCCACACCTGGTGACTGGGCATCAATTTGGAAGCGATAAGGAAGTGCAAAAAAAGGTGAGAGAGAAGAGCCAAGAGCTTGGAAGGTGAAGATAAATGGTATGAAATATTTCAACTATGCATGTAATGGGAGGTCAGTGCAGGAGGCAGATAAGAAGGCCAGAGGAGGTCACAGAGGGTTATGGTCAAAAGCAAGAGATCTCCCTAAACCATCAAATGAGCTCTTCAAGGATTGTGACAGGCCATATTTTTAGATGAGAGAGAAGTTAAGCAGAGTGCTTTTGTACAGCTAGTCATTGACATGTGTGGTATTAAATACCAAAGGCACTTTGGAAGAGTATAAATAACATTTCATAACTAAACCAGAACTTCTCAGAAAAGAAAAGATTTGAGAGACAGCTGCCAGCCTCAGGTGGGAGATGGAGATTTAAATAGGCTGTGCTAGGTTTCCTGTCTCCTGTGTATGAGCTTCACTACAACATGATAACGTAAAGAACAACTGTGGGCCACTCCTTGCTGGGGATGCTTTTCAACTATGCACTTGTGAGGCACTTTGCAACATCCAGAAATAAAATGCAGCCCCAGCCTTAAGGACCATCCAAATGGGCCGGGTGCTCTTGTAGGGGCTGGTACACTGTGCCATCCAGCCACTGGCTCAAGCTTTTGGAGAAGGGTTGCTTGAAGGAGAAGTTGCAATGGCCAAGACACGAGGTAGGCTCTGGGCATCTTTGCAGAGAAGTGGCTGTTGGTGTGTTGCTGTTTAAGAGATGAGTGCTCTCCTGGTGGTGTAGGAATACCTGAGAAAATCTGGAATAAGCAGCCAGGTTGTGTCATTGAGTGTGGGGCAGAAAGCTGAGAACATAGGGAAAAGGCTAGATTGTGGGCACTATTTCAAGGAGATCTCCATCCCTGCATGTGTGCTTGTCTGATGGAAGGATCCCCATTTATCAGGTTCCCCACTGGGCTTGATTAACGGCGTTATTTATAGACTGCCTGATTAGTTTTCAGTGTCTTAGTGAGCCTGTTGTTCCACATGGAGCCCAGTAATTAGAGTTTTTTAAGAGGCTTGGGAAAAACTCCCCTGCATTTCCTCCTTACTTCCAACCAACAGCTCCAGAGCCCATGCAGGTACTAATTAACGACTCTTTGTCTTTCTGGGGTCAATCTCACAGTTCTGCATGCTTCCAGGCAGGGTTTTCTCCCTGTGAGGGGGAACACCCAGGCTGCTCACCCCTGCTGCTTGTGGTTCAGATCTGAGTGGATCCATAGGGGAACACCTGGAAGGGGCACACAGGGGAAGTTCTTCCCACAGTGAAGCCAGGAGTCTGTGCTGCCTCTTGCTTTCTTCATGTGTTTAGAAAGCTGTTGAAAAAAAATGAAAAAAGTTCTAAGTGCTGGAAGATCACTAGGCTGTGGTGATGGGGAAACTGTGGGCATATGCTCCTCTGCATCAGTTCATCTGGCTGCTGGTTATTCTTTTTTTTTTTTTTTTTTTTTCCACATTTTGGGCAATTTCCCAGTCCTGCATATTGTTACAAGCTATTTCTGTGCTAGTGGAGTGAAGAGAAGGCAGGAGCAGCATCTGTCTGCAGGAGTGCAGCTCCAGTGTAGCCTAGTGATAGTGCAGGGTCTGGTGGAGTGGAAGATATATGAGGAGCGGTTGAGGTCTGTGGGTTTGATCAGCCCAGAGCAGAGAAGTTAAGGGAGACCTCATGGCAGCTACAGCTCCTCACAGGGAGTGGAGGAGCAGTGCTGAGCTCTGCTCTCTGTGGCAGCGACAGGACCTGAAGGAACAGCATGGAGCTGTCAGGGGAAGGAGGGTCAGGGGGGTTAGGGAAAAGTTCTGCACCAGAGGGTGGTGGGCATGGAACAGACTGCCCAAGGCAGCAGGTGTAGTCCCAAGGTGCCAGAGTTCAAGAAGCATTTGGACACTGCTCTCAAACATAGGGTCTGATTTTTGGGTGGTCCTGTGTGGAGCCAGGAGTTGGACTCCATGATCCTTACTGGTCCCTTCCAACTTGGGATGTTCCATGATTCCATGATTCTGGGAGGTCCAGAGGACCTGTTCAGAAGCAGAACAGGGAGAGTATGACTCAGTAATGAACAGTTACCTGTGTCGTGATGAGGGCTATAGGCAACAATGGGACATCCAAAAGGCTTTTCCCAAAGGGCTCAGCACCCACTGTGCCTCAAAGACAACAGGAGTTGCAGGCACCGGCACTTCACATGTAGGACTGCAGGGCCAGTTTATGCAAAGGTGACACAAATCAAGAAGGTAGCATGGTTACCTCTGACAAAAGTTGTGTCACCCCAGCATGATCCTGGCTGTGCAAAGTCAGGTAACCTGCATCTCCTCTTTGTGACCTCCATCAGCAAACCAGAAAAACGATCATTCCCCATAGATGAAATGAGGCCAGGATTTGTCCTGAGGCGACTGTCTCTGCTGAGATCCTGCCCTCTCTGATGTGACCCTGCTGCATGAGTGCCATTCTTTGTGTCCATCTCTGCTGCATTTTCATAGAAAGCTTGAAACAGGGCTTTGTTGTTTAAACACTGCAGCAGTGAAGTGGTTTTGCTGTACGAGAGCTGCTCTGAAAATAACACCTCCTATTTTATTATGCTGGCCCATAATGATACGGCAGTGAAGGTTGAACCTCTACTGAGCATTAGCTCTGTCAAGTAGTATTATTGTGCTCTTTGCTATGGTTTCCATGGAAATGGGTAAGAGACATTGCTTTCAGAACGATCTACTATATATGTGTACCTACTGTATACATATGCAAAATATTTTGTTATCTGTCTGTTGCAGCTCTCCTGTCCTTTGTGCTGCAGTCAATCTTTAAAAATGAGTTTGTTTTTGTCACAAGGGAGCAGTTGGTGGGCCTGGCACTGCACTGGGGAGCAGTAAGGGAGGCTGCACACCTGCTGTACAGATGGGAGCCTGACATAATTTTGCCCATGCGGGTGATAAGTTTGTGTGGGGTTGCTCTCCAAACCCCAACTTGTTGCATTTGTGTTATAAATACAGCAAGTCCAGGTCTGTGCAGAGAGCAGTGCAGGTGGCAGAGGAAGCCAAATAAGATTTAACTCATGGAGGGGAAAAGGCACCTAAGGCAGGATTTGTGGTAAAATTTGGACAAAGAGAAGCAGGGTGAGCAAAAAGGCCGCTACAGACCAGTCGCTTTCCCTAATCTGGGTGAAAGTGCCGCTGTATGCTCCCCGTGCTATCTCATCCGCAGCGTGAGGCTTAACATTCCTGCCTGGCACGTGGGGGCTAGGGAGGGAGCAGGGGGGTGGGAGGGTGGGGGGGAGGGGGGAGAACCGAGCTGGACACAAAGACGGCCAGCCTCTCAGCGGAATGGCATCCAAGCCATCTCAGCCATCCAAAGCCCCAGCTGCCGGCCTGTGCGCTCAGGCTGCAGCCTGCTAAGCGAACGGTGAGAGGCCATTCCACGCACCTCACGCTGCGGGCCCAGGGAGGGGTCTCTCCAGCCTCGCTTTTATTTGGCTGCTGTGAGCTGCAGGAAATTTCAAGGCTGTCCTACATCTTGGAGCTAGAAATGGGAGCCAGTGGGAACGCTGTGCCTGCAGGAAGAAAGGAGCTGAAGTGATGGGTGCACAGTGTTTGTGTGGCGTCTGCATGCATGTGACAAAGAGGGGTAAATATTTGTTTGCTGAATTTTTGCAGATACCATTAAAGGGGGAGGGAATAGACTTCTCTTTCTTTTTGTTGCGTGTGGACTTTTCTCTCAGCTTTTCTGTGTTCAAAGCCTTTGTCAGGTGGTTATGTCCTGCAGGGGAGCTGCGGAGCTCTGCAGACAGGGATTGTAGTCTCAGAGTACAGATGCAGGCTGATGAGTTCTGTGCTGTGGATGCTGCAGCTGATCTCCCTTCCGTGTGCTGAGTTCTGTGGGGGCATTCCCAAGGGCTGAACACTGCTTGGGTGGGAAGGAGAGCAAAATCTCTCTCTTGCAGCCTGACTGGGCAGTGACAGAGAGAAGAAAAGGACTACAAGTGGCTTTCTGGGACATCTTTTCACTTTCAAAAAACTAGACTGATGCCTCTACCTTTCCCCTTGGGTCTGTGTGTTGCCTTCTTTCTTAAAACAATTATTAAATGTTGAGTACAAGTATTTTGTGTGCTGCTGTTTACACGGCCTTGGTTTCCTTTGGCAGGGACACACATGCTGCGAAGGGATGCACCGACCCGTGTCCCCGCCTGCTCGGTCCAGACCGTGTGACCACTGACTTTCAGCCCAGCAAACCTACGTGGCCAGGAGGAGTTAAGTTAAGGCTGAAGAGCAGGTGAGAGTGTACACATCTGCATCCCTGTCTGCTGGGTGTGTTTGATGGCTGCTGTCCTTGGAGAGTGTCTGGCGGACTTCTTCTTCCCAGCCAGTGGGAATGCTGGAATAGGATATCATGAATTCTCAGCATCCATAGAACTAGATGGTGGAAGGGGGCCAGGACAGTTTCTTGACCTCATGCCCACCTGTTCCTGAAGTTTCCTTGCCTGTAGCACATTGTGAGGGAAGTGAAAGGAACTGACCTTTTTTGCCTTGAATACAGCATCAACGTTTCTTGATTTCAGTAACACTTACATAGGGCTGGGTGTAAAAATGGTACTGCTTTGTAAATGTAAAAATGTTATTGCTTTGACTGCTGATATGCCTGAGGATGACTCACTGGGAAAGGGTTCTGGAAGAGCGTCCTTTCTTGTCGAAAGCTTTGTCAGTTATGGTTAAGTTCACTGGAGGTGGGAGATCAAAATATCTCCATAGCACTGACAGTAAGCTTGCAGCATCTCCCCAGATTTAGGTGCCTGGCTTTCCAAAGCTAAGGTTTATTCCAAATCTCAGAGTTTTAGTGGGAGTTTGGCATTTGTGACAAGCCTGCTGAGAGCCTATCTGCATTTCTAAAAAAAGTAAAAAAAAGTCTTTAGAAGTCAGTCTCCTGAATTGCTGTAGATCCACTAGAGTTGTGGCACAGCCTCATTTCCTTCCTTTGTGCATGCAGGTTAGGGCCAAATTTTTCTGTTTGCTAAGGCAAAGCTTCTTCTGGAAGCAAAAAAGCCTTTTGCATCAGTTAGATGGTATTCTGGATGACCTCAGATTTTTGTCTCCATCTTCTGAGATTTACACCATGAAGTCTAAGTAGCAACTTTTGTTGGCAGCATTGAATTCAGAGCAGATCTTGACCTATTTGAAGTCAAGAAGCTTCACTGATTTCCCATAGCTGGAGGAGATGTTGTTACTGAGCAGCTGCCTATTACTGAGCAGCTGAGGGAATGTGAGGAGGGAATGTGACTCGTGAAGTCACACTCTGCTCTTAGAAACAAGGATGCACATCTGGAACAAACTTACTGACCTTGGTGGAGTTGTCCTAGCTTTTAGGCACTGCAGTCAGTTGTAGATCCTGACACTGTGCAGCCTCAGCGGCTGCAAAAGGAGGAAAGAAGAGCTTAGTTTGCTTGTTTTGTTTTCCTCCAGCTGGGAGTTTGCACCATGAATGATATCTCTCCCAAATGGAGCAGATTTTTGAGGCTGAAATATCTCCTTGAGAAAAATTTTATCAGGGACAAACTTATCTGTGGTTTGGGTTTGGGACTCTGACGTTCCTCAGGTATCAGACCCATAGCAAATTTGGAAAGAAGTTGCAATGCAAACACCACCTTTCTATAACAGTGAGTTATTCAGGCTATGCTTACTGTAAATCCTGCTTGCCTGTTGATTTAATTGCAGATATCTGCAGAAGCTCCAGAGTTTAGCATTTCACTTGGATTAATTTGTCTTTGGATGCAGAGCCAATGTTTTCCTTCATTTTTCCGGCAGTGTCGGAGGCTGTGTCTGCATATCTCAGTGGCTTAACTCGCATTGAAGCTTTGGTTACAAGCAGGAAGTTGCTTTAATGTACAAGAATTTGAATGTGGGAGGGTATTTCAGACTTGCCGACCTCTACTTTGGCTGTGCCAGTGATTATTACTGAAGTGATTAAAAGTTTCTGAGGGAGAGGAGAGGTCTGTTAGTGGCTCTATGATTTGTGTGGTTTTGCCTGTTCGTTTGTGTAAAAATCCCATCCATCCACACGAACCAGTTTATGTGGACACATCCGTGCATTCAGCATGTAGCTGAATTCTCCTGCTGATCATTTCTATGCCAGCATTTTGATACTGAGGTTATTGGAGCTGCTTGTGATTTGTAGCTCAGAGGAGTTCCATCTGAGATGCTCACTGTATGATTGCCCCCGGTTACCTGCCATGGTTAACTGTCCTCTGTAGGCATGGATAGTCAGTGTTCCTGCTGCCAGCCACCCAGTTCTTCTGAACGAGAACAGGAAAGCACATTCCTTCCATTGTTCCTAAGTTTCTTCTCTTGCAGGTTGCTGTGTGCTTGATATCAGGGTGCAAAAGAATCTAAACAATGCTCGTTTTTCTGTCTTTTTAACTAATTTACTGACTGGGAAAGAATGAGAAAAAATATTTGAATTAAGCCCATTGGGCCAGTTCATCAGGGAGGATAAATCAGTGCAGCTCTGTGAGTTCTGTAAAGCCACAGGCAAGTTAAAACACATTACTGTCTGACTGCTGAGATTCTCTACCTGTGCTCAGAGAGCAGATGTAAATGTCTGGAGAAGGCAGGACGTAGCAGAGTTCTTCTCAAGGACAAAGGCCAAAGCAAAAACTCTACAAGTGGCAGCTGTCTCTTTTCCAGACCTTTCTTCCTCTTTTTCTTTTTCTTTTTCTTCTTTTTTTTTTTTTTTCCGAATGAGAGAAACAGTAAAATTATGGCAAAAAGAATGAAATTACAGGGGGTTGTTAACCCAGCACTGACCAGCTCCTTGTTCTAGCCTTTATGTACCTCAGTTAGCAGGCAGGGGACTTCCACATGTCTAAGCCACAGACCTGTGTGAGCAGTTCAGATACACTACCCTGGAAAATAGTTTCTCAAGATAGAGATCTGAAATACTTCTTATTCTGCAATTTAAGTCGTACTTACCATGTTGCTTGGTAATGCTTTATGTAAAAAAAGAAAGCTGTCAGAAGATCCCAACAGGACAAAGTCCTTAAATCCAGTAATCAACAAAAATGAAGGCTGTATACATCACCCCTCACACTAATAACCAAAGCCCCACTGTTCCTATTCAAGCCTGCTGTCTGGTTAGTATCAGGAATGTCAGTGGGACGCTTTCATTGTGTAGGGCAAAGTCCTCAATCTAAATATTGCCTGTCAGACATATGCTTGGATGAAGGGAAAATGGTGCAGTAGCGCTTGGTGCAGTTCCTAGCAGTGCACTCTGCGGTAGAGCTGTTGGGTGATTCTGTGTAAGTCACTTCACCTCTTGAGGCCTTTGTTTCCTTTTCTGGAAAAGGGGATAAATGGGCCTTTTTTGGATAAGGCAGGCCAGGGTTTACCAAAGAAATGCGATAACACAGAGGTGTGATGTATGAGTCCAATAATCATTAATTACAATGTTTGACTGTTCATGAGTTCAACCAAGGAACGATTGTTGCTCACAGCTGCCATCTCCTCTGAGTGATCTCAGAACTTTTTTTCTGCAGCCTGAGGAAGAGCACTGTTTTCCAGAAAAAGCATCTTTTGTCTCCTGCAATTTCTGCTGCAGCACATGATGCTGTCATGTATCTGTAGTCATCTGCATGTTGGCCCTCACCAGAATCAGTATGATGAGTATTGCTTGGTTGTTCCTTTCCACCAAGAAATAGTTCCACATGAATTTCCTTTGCCTGCTTTTGGTGCTAGAGAGAGAAGACAAGGAAGAGAGACAAGCTGCTTCCTGCACATGAAGTTGCAGAAAAACAGAGTAGAAAAAATTCGTATGTACCTCTACATGTGTGACTGTCATCTCTGCTTTCACCCAGAGCCTTTCTTCACAGTGATCTGGTAAGGGCGATCTTCCCAAAATGTTGGTGAAGGTAATGGTAAGAGACTTGTGCAAAAGGCCCTGATTCCCTGATTCCCTTCCCTAAGAGACTTCAGAGAGCTTCAGTACCTGTCTGCCAGCTCAGACATGATACTCAAGGCCTGATCTGATGCAATTCATGCATCCCAAGTGATGCTCATCAAAGGGGAAAAAAAAAAATAAGCACTAGATGTGGGCTGAAACAACAAGCAGACATGACACCTGCCTGTGACACTGGAAAGGGATCTGAGAGAGAAATGAAACCAAACTGAGTTGGGTGGAGTGCTGAACTTGGCTAGTTGATGTTACTCAAGTTGCTAGTTTTTTTGTGTGTATTAAAGTCTGAAACTGCTAAAAACTGTGATATGCTGTGAAGGGATTCACTGGTTGTGAAGTTGTGCTCTAGGAGCTACAGGGAAGGATGTACTGCAAAACAGAAGGTTGTTTTCTGGTTTGAGAGTATTCATTCATTTGACCTGAGTGTCCTGAAGAGAGTTTTCTTTCAGTGTCTGTCTTTTTCTTTTGCTTCTGGAAAGTTTTAATCAGAGCATAAAGAAAGGCGTGGGTTGCAACTCTCCCTGTAGGTGGGGAGATACTGCGCCCAAGATCTATGACATGAAATATCATTTCATAGACTTCACATCTTTCTAAGGAGTCCTCATTTTTAGTGAAAATGAGGAAGGGACAGAGCACATTTCAGATTCACTCTGCCCCTGAATTCACCAGAAGGTCTCTGAGCCCCAAAAGACAAATTCAGTGAGAGACACAACAGGCTGATGCCATTATGCCAAACTTCTTTCTAATTGGCCTCATCTGTTATGCTTATTTTTAGAACCATGACTGAACCTTAATTAAGAGCGACGTTGCTTTGAGTAGATTGTGGTCCTGCTCCGTTGAAATCCTAATAGGCTTCTGGTGCTTTATTTTTTCCTTCATCTCCTGCCTAATAGCTGGGCATAGGGACTGCAGCATGGTAGGATATCTGGAGATGGTATCCTCGTTACACTAGCGCTCCTGGGTATGACCATCTTGGAAGCATGGGCATGGCAGTGAAAAATCAGACCGTTGTTTTACTTTGTGTTTATCGCTCTGAGAGACTATACAGAAACTACTACGATCAAGATCTCTTCACATAGTCATCCACATGCAGTTTTTGCTGGCACGGCAGCAGCAGTTGATATTGCTGCATGGCTCCTCACTGCTCCTTTTGGAGGCTTAGGGAAATAGGAAATTCTCTGAACAAGCATAGTAGACAGGAAAATGGCAACTTGAAGAAGCTAAATTGCTTGCTTTAGTCAAGTCGGGCATTTCTACATAAAAGTGGAAGCTCTCAGAGGACACGAGGCTGGTGGGTAGTTGAAGCAACACACTTGAGTTGTGTGCACTGTGGCATCAATAAGGAACAATACATAAAGAATGGAAATTAGGCAGTACATTGTTTTGTGTGGGCTCAGTTTGTAGCTGTGAGAAAAAGATAAGCCAATCTTTCTGTTGCACTGTGGAGAAAGCTTCTGATGGTTAAGTGCTGATTAATTTGTAGTTAGTGCCAAGGAATCTTTATAAAGTTTGCCATTTCACTATTATTTTGCATACAAAGCATAAAAATAATTTTCTACAGAGATTACAGGGGAGAACACAGTCAGTTCTTCCTAATAGAGGAGAGCTACAGGCCAGTTCATAGTATATAGCCTCAGAAATATCACTGTAAGCCTTGCAGCCCAGATTGCATTGAGCAGACTGTCTTCCAGAAGACTGCTAATGTCTGAAATTGCTGTGATGAGTATAGCAAGAAGGAGCACCCAGATAACAATAGCTGGGCATAATTAAAGACTTTATTTCCCTTCAGTTTCCCAGTTTACAGTGTGAATTTGGCAGTGCCTGATATGTAATCAGTGTTAGAGCTGCAGCGTTGTATTGGGGTCTGCTGACTTCTCTGGGTACCATTGCTCCGACAGCCTGAGCTGGCTGACCACTTACTAGATCATGGGAGGTGTCCAGGAGGCCCTCGTTGCATTATCTGAACAGGAGAACTTCTTAGTAATAAGACTGTTCATATGCTTCTACAGGTATGGTACAGTTACAGACCTTGAGAAACTAAGATAAAGGGTAAGGAGGGGGGATGGTTTAGTATTATTGTTACATTTTGAAGTCCTGCAGCCTCCTGATTTTGTCGTAGACCACTGAGCTACACTAAATTTGTACCAATGAAAGGTCTATTAATTTATCTAAACTCAGGAATTAGCTGCTGCATTTGCAAGGTTTGTGACTCAGTCAGTTTGCCTGGGTTGAATCAGGATCTGACACTTCCCAAAGGCCGTTCTGTCCCACTTGCCTTAAAGAGTTTAATCTTGCACTGCTCTTAATTGTTTCCTGACAGTTGTGCTCTGTAGTAGTGCGAGTGTAACCAGAAGCTGTTGCAAAATCAGCAGATAAACCAGACCCAACTCTCTGCAGCTCTGTAATGGGAGGTGGCTGTTTTGCAGACGCAGTTGTATCACACTCCAACTGCAGTCCTTTTCCCTCTTTGGGCAGTAATACTTACAAACTTAAGCTTAACGATATGCAGTGAAACAAAGTGCTATTTTCAGATGTTACAGCAGGCTGCAGGCAGGGTCTTTCTGGTGTTCCCGCATGCAGGAGAGGCTGTGCCTTCCTTTCCATCCTCTGCACTCTGCATCAGGAGCCTCTCGATTGATTCAGCGGGGACTGGTCTGAGCCCTCAGTCTCTGCTGCCTGGTGTATGTGTGCATGCAGACCCTCCATGTCTCCATCCTGCCTTCTGCAAAGGGTTCACCTGTGTGCCTGCAACATGAGACGGAGATCATGTGTACTACAGCACTTCCCCTCTTGGCTTAAGCTTGGTTAGGATTTGGTTACCCTTAATCCACGTTTCCAGGATCAGGTAGGTGTGGAAACAATGCAAGGTTATCCTGTGCTGAGCTGGTACGGCATGTCTTCGGACTTACATTCACAGCTTCTCTCTCCACGTGTTGTATTGTTACAAGGATATTGGCCCAAAGGGTTTAAAATACTTGTGCCTCAGAGGATTGGCTGTGCAGCTTCTTGCAGCTTTTTACTGATCAAATCAAGGGCTAATGTGCTTTGCTTGTGATCATCCAGTGTGCTTTCCCAAGAAAGAGATTAATGCTGGGGGCTCGTACTGCTTCAGAGTACAAAGAGAGTCTTTAAATCTCTGCAATGGAGAAGGCAAGAACAAACAAATATTACAGTTATTAGTAATAAACTGTTTTGTCATCTTTCCATCCTGAAGTGTTTCTGTGGGCAAGGAGCATAACAAGAGAGCTCTGTTTTAAACACATCTACACATGAAACAGTAAAATGGTGCTTGATTCAGCTTGCTCCGTATAAACCTCCACTGCACTCTCCTTAAGATAGTCCTGTCACAACAAATGTCAAAAGGAAAACAATGTCTCTTGTTTTGTTCTTCTTCTAAGTGATGATGAGAGAGTAATTTGTTTCGAAATCTGCATAGAAGATGTCTTGCTGAAGTGGTTCTGCATCTCAGTTTCTGTTAACATTTTTCTATGGAGCAGAGCATTATCCATTGCAAATTAATTTCTGCCAGTACAGTCTGACCCGAACAATCAGTTTTTACCTTGGCCATTTTTCTGTATCTTTTCAGTGCTAGGAGTCTTCATTTGGTGTCTGTTTAATATCTACAGAGGACATTTTAATCTGTTTACTAATTTATTCAGGACATGCTGCACCATGAAAATTTCAGTGAGACAGAGGCTTTGAAGATGTGTCATATCCTCCTCATGGGTTCATGCTATGTAGGTGTAGGTGAGGTTGTCCTGCAACCTGTCTTCAATGATATGCAGCTCCTGTACTGGCCCTGGACCCAAAGGCTGGGGCAAAGGACAGTGTGTGTGACATGTTTGGGAATTCTTGATCATTGATGAGTTAGAAGTGAGTGTGTTTCAAACGTTTCTGTCAGTTTCTTCATGTTCATCATCCTTGAAAGAGGTGGTCTGAGATTGACGTGCAAAATCCTTCTGCTTTTACCTAGGCGGAGTGAAACTCCGGGCCGACCTCACTCCTGGCATTCAACCAAACTTTCAGAGAACCAACCCGATCCCAGCATGATGCAAATATCTCAGGGTATGCTTGGCACCCCTTGGCTTCAGTCCTACCACTCCAGGTAAGCACTACACAGCTGTGGTTATGTGCTGCATAGGCAGAGGCACAGAGCCACCAGCATTTTTATTTTTGATTTCATGTTTTTACATACCATCCATAGGCATGGAAATTGGGATTCCAAACTAGTGTGCTTCTAAACCCCAAATACTGTGTCACTGTTTCCAGTGTCACACTGGCTTCAGGGAGGCTCTGCCTCATGCCCAAGAGTCTGCCTTGATGGTGCTGACTACAAGATCGGAGTCTAAATCTAGAGCACACGAATGAAGGAAGGGAAAAGAAATTTGATGGCAAAATAAAGTTGCCTTCATACAGCTGGTGGGATTACGAACAGCCGGGGTTAGGTTTGGAGTCAGGAGGGCTTTGCTTCATCTTTGGTTACCCAGACAAAGTGGCTATGTATTTCTCGATGAAGTGCTCTCTGAAGTGATTAACATCTATGCAACTAATTGCTTAAAAAATTCTCCTTCTCAACGCAAAGAAAGCCCACTGCCAATATATTAAGGTGGCCACCTCTGAGTCCAGATACAGGAGTTGGAGTCCTGCTCTGTATCCCATGGCTTGCCCCCATGGAGAAAGTCAGCACAGTTGTTTCCCCAGAAGAAGAAAATAAATAAAAAAATAAAATTAACCAGTAAGGAAAAGGAACATTTTTCCCTGGCAAAGCAGGAGGTTTTCAGGAGCAGGAAGTTCTCCTTATAGCCACTGGGATCTAAACATCGTATCTTTTACAGATATAATCAAGTCTTGGCAGAGGGGTGGGAAGGGAAAACTTCACATTAAAAAAAGTGAGGGCATTGTTACAGAAAAAAATGTATGTTCCTCCCTGGCCTGAAGCACAGATCATCCTGTAGCATGTTCACTTCCCACCTGGGTGCTTTGCTTCCCAGCTGCAGCTCCCGCAGAGCCTTTGGCAGCATGGCTGTGTCTCCTGGGAGCTTGGAGAGGAGTATGGGGAACATCTAGTGGCCAGCTGGCCATGGTTGCACAGAGCACTGCCAGGGAAATTTTTTTTTTCTTGACTGTACATTTAAATAAGTAAACCAGCTTTATCCTGAGTTTTGCAAGATCTATTTCTGCCTGTCTGTGTGTTCTTTTGCATCTCTGCAGAGCTGCTGCACTTTATTCTAGCCAGAGGGATCTCTACACTTATTTATACACATTTGTGATATTCCCATGTGAGGTGTAGAGGAAGTATGGCCAGCACAAGGAGGCCACTTCCAGCTGATAGGAAGCTCTCTGAATATCTTCATTTAAACACATCTTTGGAGGCCATGAGTCTTCTGCCAACACGTATGTTTTGGACGGTGAACTCAGACATGTAGAACTACATGTGAGGAGCCTTTGAAGGCTTCCTGGGCTGTTCTAAAACTTAATATAATTGCACCCCCAACTTGCCTCCATGCACAGACACGTGCATCTCTTCTCTGTCTTGTCAGCTTAGTTTTCTTTCGCAGCAAACAAACTATCCTTGGGACAGCTGAATTTCCAGGAAGCGTGCCAGAGCATAGCCTTCATCTCCATAAAAAGGAATGAAATGGGAAAAAAGGAAGAGATTAGATTCTCCCCAGAACGCCTCATATGCTCATCTCCTCCTCCTTGGTGGCGTCGGCACTCATTCAGCTTTTCAAGTGCTTTGGATAGGTTTGATGGGTGGAGTTGATCCTCCTTGGCTCCACAGATGCTCTGTCTCTCTGTCTGCATTTCTCTCCTCCCACCCCTTGGTGGTAAATAAGAGCCATGTGTTGCAATGTCAAGTAGTTCCTTTTAGTGAACTGAGATGACTGCAAACAGGGGATGGAGCAAGGCCCAAATATGGGTTTTCATCTGCACGTCTCAAAGCTAAACATCTTTCTTCTGAGCTCACTTAAAAGTTGTGCCTCTTCTCTGCTAACAGTGGGTTCTTGCTCTTCTCTCACTCTTCCCCAGCTCCTCAACCAGCGATCTCTCTGGCTATGAGCATGGCTATCTGAGGAGAAGCCCTGACCAGTACAGTTCCCAGGGCAGCATGGAAAGCTTGGACCACTCCTCCCCTGGCTACCATCCTTGTCACCTGTCCCCAGCCAAATCCACCAACAGCATCGACCAGCTCTCCCACCTGCACAGCAAGAGAGATTCAGCCTACAGCTCCTTCTCCACCAACTCCAGCATTCCCGAGTACGCTGCTTCGCCATTCAGCAAGGAGCACTCCTGCTCCACAGACAGCATGCACTCCCGCAGCAGCCTACCAGAGGGCATGAAGCAAGCTGACATCAGGTATGTCAAGACAGTCTACGACTCTCAGCGAAGGATTTCTGAGGAGTACGAGGTGAAGTCCTCTGCTTTGCTTCCAAGCAGTGAGGCCCGGATCTTGCAGAATGGCCGCGGCCATGGCAGGCTCCACAACTTCAGCCGGAACAGCACAGCTCCCTCCTGGGTGCCGTCAGGCCAGGGCTGCTCAGACAGCGAAAGCAAGCCCCACAAGGGACCTCCCTTGCCTCCCACTCGCAGTGACAGCTATGCAGCCATCAGGCATCACGAGAGACCCAGCTCATATTCTGGCCTTGATCTGAACAAGCCTAGCCGAAGCCAGCTGAAAGGGTCCTGGTCTCCTCTTGTCAGCCCACTCTCCCAGGGACCTCTACTGAAGACCCACTTTGAGGAAGGGCAGCTGCACACAGTGGTGGAGAAGAGCCCGGAGAGTAGTCCCACAGTGAAGCCCAAGCAGAGCTATTCCCACCCAGGGCAGCCCCTGCTGCCTACCGGAGTTTACCCAGTACCTTCTCCAGAGCCACACTATGCCCAGGTGCCCCAGCCTTCTGCAAGCAATAATGGGACTCTTTTTCCAGCTCTGGCCAAAGAAAGTGGCTACTCTTCATCTTTTCCAGTCTCGTATGACAAAGGTGCAGCCAGCAGCACCCTGGGCTTTGATGAGAATGGAAACCAAAGTACTACAAACAGATCGGCTGTTTTTTACGAGCCCCCAGATGCTGAGAGAAAGCATGATGCCACAGCACAGCTTGTCCAGCAAAAACTTCATAACACAGAAGTCTACTTAAGCATGTCAAGGAAGGAGGAGTTGTTACCCTCTTACAAGGCAGCACACTGCAACCGAGATGCTGTGAGTCCTGCACAGGCCTCTAAACACAGCTTTCAAGCCCTGCAGATCCAGCCAAGAGATGCCGGTGAGAGAAAAAGCCCCTACCAGTCCAGAGAGAACCGGGAGGCTGAATGCCAGGCTGACAAAAATGGCAACATACAGATAAATGAGAGAGATGCTGCCACGCACCTCCAGTGGGGTCACAACAAATCCAGGCAGTATAGCTTCTCTTCTTTGCAGAACATCCCTGAGAGCTCCAGGAGGCAAAGTAGCTCTGAGCCATGTGAAAATTATTCCAGTGCCAAGCTGTCCTACTTGAACAACAGCACCAAAGAGGAGAGGGATCACAGAGGACAACGCAGTGATGCAGACCCGCAGGCCCTTACGAGGCAGGACGAGGGCAAGAGCATGGCCCCATTTCATGCTGTAGAGCCAAAATATGAGGAGATTCCTTTGCAGCACCCAAAGACCTCTGATCTTGGGAGGAGCCGGCTCAGCTCTAGCAGCACCCAAGGTGTTCTTCATGGCAAACCAGATCCCAGCAAGTCCCGCTGCTCTGTGCTAGAGAAGGTCAGTAAGTTTGAGCAGCGAGAGCAAAGCACTCACCGGCCCCAGAGTGCTGGTGTTCCCAGCTTTGGCCAGCATTATGGGCTCAGCAGGGTGAGCCAGACCTCCAGCACCAAGAGCTCTCCAAGCAGCCCAGAGGATATGCGGAGCAAACTTGGCACCCAGCTGCCCAGTGAGATGAGCAGAGTCTCCAGCCCCTCTGTCAGGAACGGGAAGTTGGAAGAGGCTGATTGGCGCTGTGTGGAGCTGCAGATGGCAGCTTCAGCGAAGCAGGCAAGATGCAATGAGTACTATGACACGTGTCCTGAAAATGAAGTGCAAATAAGGGTGGCCCAGCTGCCAAGGAGCAAAAGCACATTCCAGCTGGGAGGGGAGCCTGAGAAAGAAGTCCTCTGGAAGGACAACATCCAGGATGCCCACGGGTCACAGCTGGACACACCGTTCAACAGGGCCTACAGGAACAGCATTAAAGACGCACAGTCCCGAGTGCTGAGGGCCACCTCCTTCCGGCGCATCAGCCCCCCATTTGCAAATATGCCCAAGAGGGCGATCCAGAGGCCTGCCTCAGCTCATGTGGGCATGAGGAGCATGGCGGCGTCTCCCCACACCCCAAAGGAGAGACACAGCGTCACGCCAACGGAAGGCAGCCTCTCTGCCCTGGACTACTCCAGGACACCTCACATCTTGCGTATCGGGGGCCGGAAGCGGCTGACAGCAGAACAGAAGAAGCGGTCTTACTCGGAGCCAGAGAAGATGAATGAGGTGGGCATCTCTGATGGGGAGCCATCACCTTTCTCCTTCCAGAAGAAGGGCCTCCATTTTGTCTTCCCAGAGAACACGGTGGCTGATAGGCGTAAGATCTTTGAAAGGGATGGCAAAGCTTCTTCCGCTGTCAGCCTCTCTAAGCCAGAGCTCAAGCAACTCCAGCAGAATGCCCTCGCCGACTACATTGAGCGCAAAACGGGCAAACGACCATCCTCACAGGACGGTGGGCTGCTCAGGGAGCGATCCCACAGCTCCTACCTGCAAGCAGGTGGCCAGGACAGCCAGAGCCTTTCCTCTGCCTCCAGCATGAATTCTCTCCAGGATCAGAACCTCTTCCGCCGGAGGGAGTCTGTTGAGCGGATAGCCAGGACAGGGCGGGTGTCTTCCACCCTTCCTCCCGGGCTGACGGGCTGCTTTGATGGGAGTGGGGATGAGCAGAAGAAAGGACGCTGGGACAGCTCGATCATGAGCAGATCGAAAACAGACAGGTGTCGGGATTATAGAGCCCAAATGGAGCTCACCAAAGGCACGCAGACAGACCCTTTGCACCCGCAGGGCCAGCCTTGCTATGGGAAGAAGGAGCAGAGCTTTGAAGCACCCAGGAAATCTGGGAAATCAGTGTCTGTGGAAGACTTGCTTGATAGATATGACAATCAGCAAAGGAATGCATGTGTCCCTGTGCACACACGTTCCAGATCTTCGCCCATAGCAGATAAAAAACACCAGGTATGTGGAAATTGGATTATCTGTTCAAGAAAGCAGGGAAACGGGGTATGTCAGGCAACAGACTGATGCTCAGTCTTGGCATTAACTTCATTGGTACTGAAAGGTTGAATGCATGCTGAGATAAGACCATTTATTTTTTTTACATTAGGATGCTGTTTAATTGCATGCTGCTGAGTTATTGCTTTTGTTCTGCTTTCTTACTGCTGGGGCTCCTTCAGGGATTTCACAGATGCAGGGATTTCAGTGCATCTGCTGATAACATGCTTGTGTGCTTCCTGTCCCTGGCAGACCATCTGAAGTGTCATGTGCTTATCTGCCAGCATCAATGGGAAAGCACTGGGATGTTTGTGGTGGGGTGTACTCCATGCTGCCGCTGTTGTTTTTCCTTAGCCCACTTCCCTAGTGCAAAGCAGAGGATTTTAAAGGCAACTTGAAATTGTCCCTGCCCGTGCTGTGTCTGACAGTGCTGGGAAATGCTCAGGACAGGCACTGCCAAGTAACCGCTAAGTTTTGCCTCCAGCACTGGAGGGAAACGTGGAGAAAATTTAGTGGAGACCCAGTCCGCTCTCTCCATGTCCCCTGCTTGGTGGTTGGGAACATAGCACTGATGTGTCATGAACAGGGAATTTGACTGACTTCACTGACAGTAAATAGTGGAAATGGGCTTACTTCTTAAAGAACAACTGCTCAGGCTGAAATCTGTACAGACCTGTTTAGGTAACTGCAGCTGCTCAAGCCACTGTGATCTACAGCAATGGTGAGCCTGCTCCCCTGTCCCTGTCTTCACACCAGGCTCTGTTGCAGAGAGAGGGAGGAAGCGGCCTGAATGTGTGAGCAAGCTTCTTGTTGCGAATAGTCTGAGTGTTTGGGCAGGCCTGCATATTTAAAGGGCATCTGAGACCCAGGACCCTTCCTGCTATTCAAACATTTACTGCTGCCCAGAAGGATTATGAAGGGAAGGAATATCCCAGTGAAGGGATACTGAATCGAGTAATGCAGAAAGGAATATGGGGAGAGTGCTCTGGGCAGGTGAAGGAGTCATCCGCCCAGACCCCTTGGTGTTACATTCTGAATACCCTCTCTCCACAGACCTCAGATCCCAGTGGCCAATTAACAGTTCACATTTAACAGGCCTGCTGTCTCATGCAGGAGACATGCAGGGAAGTTCTTGAAATCCTTAATGTTTCCCTTGCTGGCTCATTTTTAGTCTTGTGTACGTTCATCAGCCAAATCAGAGTGCTGCCTGGTGGAAGCTAGCTCAAGAGACATGGTAAACAGTGGTGCAGAGCTGCTCACAGCATCTTCCAGTGTCTTCTTTCAAATCCAGAAAGAGGGTAGAGACCTTGCTGCTCTTTTCCAGAGAGCTTTGGCTGTATCCACTTCTGGAGTGAGTATTTATCACAGAGGCAGTGAAAATCCTGTTCTTAATTCCTAATTCAGGAAAGCACGTTTGACTTCAAACATACGGCAACATTTAAGTGTCTGTTTGAAAGCATATTTGAGTGCTCTCTTAACTCAGTTTGTTTCTGAACCATCTCCAATACAACAGTAAAAGAAAAGTGAGGGACAAAGTCAGAGCAACCGGGTGGTTGGGGTTTTCTGGGACCTCTGGTGATTTTTTTGTGGGAAATGTTTATTTCCAGTTTAGCAGCAGACTTCTCTGTCTCACTGTATATTTTGCAGGGCCTTGTGTACAGTGTATTATATTCCTTCTGTGCTACATATAAATCACATTGCAATGTCACTGTAGGAATTTGTTTAGAGATATAAGGAAATAGATAGCCGTGTGGAATTATTAGCGCTCGATCTTCAGAGCAGATTCTCAGCCTTCTTTCCCTTCTGCTTTTTAAATCTGTCTCAGCCTGCATATCTTCCAGCTCTCCAACTCCTAAATTAAGACCTGCTCTTACCCTTACCCTGTAGCAACACTGGCCAAAAAAACAAACAAGGAAGGGTGTGGGAAAGGGGGCAATGGGTTGCACTGTGCTGAAAAGGTCATTTGGGAGAAAATACCAACCTCTTCAAAAGCAGGCATAGCATTTGCTTTCATGTCTCATAGTAGTCTGGTATCTCACGGCATAAAGAGTCAGATTCACAAAGCTATTTCAGCTCTGAAATTTCTCTGGTTTTAGATCAGATGCCCAAAGAGGAGTTGGTTCAGCACTTCAGTTTTCGAAAAGTGAATGCAAAACTTGGTGATGTTTTTCAGCACACCTGCTTGTGACTGGAGCTCCCGACCTCTGTGCTACTCAGCATCTCTCTGCAGCATTTTCCTCTTGTTTTGGTGCTGGGTTTGGGCACAGTTTGTTCACCGTCCAACTTCTCTGGTTAAGGCTGTTTTAATGATACCTCAGCTTCTTGCTTGCATATTTAAACATCAGTGAGCACCCAGCTCCACTGATACATTTGGGCATGTTTTTAGAGAAGGCAGGGCCTAACTATGAGTAATGTGTGGTACGTGCTGTGGCTTCTTAGTAGGGAGCATCAGTGTTTTATTGCTTTCTTTCATTTGTTTCTGATAATGCTGTCTTTCCACTCCAGGACCTGCTGAGAAGAGAAAGCAGTGAATTTGGTGCCATGGGGAGAGATCCTTTCTATGTGATCAGTGCAGGAGCCAGGTGGGTACATGTTATTGTCCCCTTTATCACTTCAGGATCAGCTCTTATTACCTGGCTGCTAGCAGCAGTTGTGGTGTGCTGTCTGTGTCAGTGGGTGGCTAGGGACAAACTAGAGAAGTCTGTGTGGATGCAGATAGGAGCATGCTCTGCCCAGTGGAGTTAGAAGGAGTAAGTTGTCATGAGCTGTTTTTCCCACTGCAGACATTAACTCACTGTAAGTTCTTTCTCCACAGTCATGTTGTTTTGGTGTGTGTTTCTGCAGCAACAGACAAATCATGTACCTTCCAAATGTGTTTTATCTACTGTTAGAAATTATCAGAACTGAAGGACTCCAAAGGAAAATATACCATGATATCTCTCTTTGTCTGGCTTTCTCCAGTCCTGGATGCTGCCTCCCCAGAAGCGAATGAACATCTGTGTGAGCTAAAACAGGGAGATCTCATTTATCTGAGAGCTTTGCATCTAGGCTGCTTTATTTTGTGTAGGCAGGATATCTTGCTCAGCAACAGGACAGAGACAAATGTTTTTAAGAATAGAAGAGTGTAATAATAAAACGCATAATATTGGGACTTTTGTAACTATTCTTTTAGCAATAGGTTGTTTTGAAGCTAACTAGGACTGAAGTTGATCTTGCCATACTTACATTTAAATAATAAATAGATGCTTGCCCTAAGCTCTGAGCGCCCAAACAGCTAACCGTTAGCTTACAGTAAAAACCATCAAGAGAGACCAAAATAATTACTCACAAATGAGCTCTGTTTCTTTTACAAACTTGCAGTAAATGTTGTCCCACTCTGTTGTCACACTGGGATTAACACTGCTGTCTCCGAAGTTTCACTCTGCAGCTCTGGGAAAGGAGTTGCAGCTGCAAGTAGGGGAAAGCATCTAGTCTAGCTGGATCTTACTTCGTCTGTGGCTGGCAAATTTTTTCTTCCTAAGAAAACATAAATGTTGTTTTAAAGGGCTCATTCTGCTTTCAGGCTTGTCCTTTTATGACTGCCTAAAACGCACCCTTCCTCTTAAATTCAGAATAATTTTTTCCTTTTTTCTTTTCTGTTTCCTTGAGAGTACATCACAGCTGGCATTTCATCATTCTTCCCAAAAACTGGTTTCTGTTTTCTTTTTTTTTTTTTAAATCCAAACTATTTTCTATATAATGAAACAGATCATCCAGACTGAAAAAAAAAGCTTATTGTGGCACAAAGGGTAGGATTCTCATTTTCATGCTTCGTTATACAAACGTTGTTGGTATTAACCCAACATTCTTATAAAGTTTCTGCTCTGTTGGTGTCTTGCATGTTCTGCAAGCACATTTCTTCTGGGAGATGTGAGGTTGCTTTCCCCTCTAGATCAGAATTGGATGAGAGAAGACAAGAAAAAGCCCTTGTCTCTGAGGATGCAGGTTCCCACCACAAAGGCTTCAAAGCACTCCCCATTAAGCCTTTGCTGTTGAATGTTTTTTTTTAATATACGTATTTCTGACCTTGGAGTGGACTAAGTAAGAGTGGGCAGGATTTTTGAAAGCAGAAGTGTTCTGATACTGTGTTCCTGAGGTGAGAAGAAGTTTTGCAGTTAAGTCTCAGTGGGAACAAGATATGAATCCTCTGCAAAGTTATAAGGACGTGTAAACTAGATCCTTAGCCATATTCAGGAGGCATTCTGCTATCAGGATAGCATTGAACCTTCTCCTACTCTGGTGTGAGTATATCACAGTCTGGGTAAAACAGGATTACTGCAACATCTTTAAGCCATCTCTTAAAAGATGCAAATCCGTGTCTGTCCTGTGATTGTCAGCTATTTTTTAGCCAGTCCTCTCATGTATAACCATCACCATCCTATCATTGCTTGCATCATACTGCATGCACATGCCCTTCTGGAGAGTCAGTACCAGGCACTTCTAAGGTTCCCTTGGAACACAACCATTTAATGTGATGAAGAGGAGATGGGACCATCTGTACCATCTCTCTTGATCAAGGAGGAAAATTATCAGATGGTCAGCTTACACAAATGAGCATTTGGTCTTGTCACACATGCTGCATAACTTATGCTCTATGCTACTGATCTACTCTGCAGGTGTCACACAATAGCTGGCTCATAAGCACTGCCAGGAATGATTGTTGCTCCACCAGTTTTAGAACCCACAGTTGCCTCCACAGTAGGAGAGATCTTTAAATTAGAGAATTACCATCTGGTGTTTCTGACAAATACTGAGCATCTTAAAAGAATACACATTGCTACTGTCCAGGAACCACAGACAATACCAAGAGTATTCTGTCTGGGAAGTTGCCTTCAGGCAAAGGCTGCCAAATTCTGTTCCCAGTTACACCAGAATAAAGCCAGAACGACCCATGTCTTTGTCAGAGTTGTTTTTAATTTGTACCAGCATGCCTGGGAACGAATTTGGGCCCCAAGTCTCAAACATGATGGGCTGGAAGTAAGCGTAAGAGTGCTTGAACAATGTGTCTCGAGAACAGAAAATGCGTTGGCAGTACAGCTTTATTGTGTTTTATTGTTTTATGGTCTGGCCTCATGTTTTTAGGCCATCTTCTCTTGCATCTTCTAGTGCTATTATTACAGCTCATTTTGTTTTCCAACTAAATAACCATACAAGCAAGTAGGTTTGACTACATATTCTGAGCAGGATCCTTGCTTCAGAGGCCAGACCCTGTTTCTTAGGCTTACATGATTATCTGTTAAAAGATAAGGAAAGAATAATATAATCTTCTTTGTTTGCAACCGTAACATGTGCTTGAAGAATGTTGTGATTTTTTTTGTAACAACTGCAAGCATAAGTGGAACTCTTTTACCTAATGGAATCCCAACATTTGTAAGAGCTTTTTAAATTTTTCTGTGAAGTCAAAGTAGCGCATTTTTACTTCACTTTTTTTTTTTTTAATAAAAAGAGCGCAATCTTTACAATAGTACTTCCCAAAGGGAGCAAATAACGTGATAGGATTTTTTTGGTCCATAAGGTGGAAATTCATAGAATCAGGGAGTCATAGAATGGCCTGGGTTGAAAAGGACTTCAAAGATCATCTGGTTTCAACCCCCTGCTATGTGCAGGGCCATTAACCACCAGACCAGGCTGCCCAGAGCCACATCCAGCCTGGCCTTGAATGCCTCCAGGGATGGGGTATCCACAACCTCCTTGGGCAACCTGTTCCAGTGTGTCACCACCCTCTGTGTTAAGAACTTCCTCCTAATATCTAACCTAAACCTCCCTTGTCTCAGTTTAAAACCATCTCCCCTTCTCCTGTCGCTATCAACCCATGTAAACAGTCATGGCCCTTCCTGTTTATATGCTCCCTTCAAATATTGGAAGGCCACAATGAGGTCTCCCCAGAGCCTTCTCTTCTCCAACCTAAACAAGCCCAGTTCCCTCAACTTTTGTTCACAGGAGAGGTGCTCCAGCCCTCTGATCATCTTAGTGGTCCTCCCTGTTCCAAGAGCTCTGCATCTTTCTTGTGCTGGGGTCCCCAGGCCTGGACGCAGTACTCCAGACTAATTGTCAAACTTTACAGCAATTGATGTAGTCTGATGGTAGACTGTGTCATATATATGTCCATTGTCTGATGGTAGACTATGTCAAATAATTTTCCTTACTGCATTCACTACCTGTGCCTCTCCCCTTTATCTGTAATAAACAGAATCCAAATGAGACTGAAGGGAAGCAAGGCAATCAGATTTTTCCAAGAGTTTTTTCTACTGAGTTTTTGCTGTGATGCTCACTGTGTGTGTGCACAGATCTGTGTGGTCTGGCTCACACTGAAAATTGTAGGAGATGGTGAGTGGGAGTGGATCTGGCTTAGTGTCCCTAGAGCTAGTAGACTGCATTTACCTCTGCATTTCAAAATCATGACTGAACCTCATGTGGATTAGCAGGCACTGACTCAGGCCTCCAGAATGGTTGCCTAATTTGATCTCTAAGCAGGTGTACAGTAGCTTTTCCTGATCCTTGATTAATTATTATAAAGTGGTCTATCTCTTGTTTTTGTAGGTCTTTCAGCAAGAAAGAAAGAAGCCACTCAGAAAAAATGACATTTACAAGTTATTATCCCCATCCACACCACATCAGTGAGATTGGTACTGGGTCTTCTGCACTGACCGAGAACCATAAGGTCTCAGAACTTTCCAGACAAGATGGCAGGAGTTCTGCATTTGTTCCGTCTCCAACAGAGGCAAGGAGTCACTATCCTGAGCAAAAGCAAGGCTTTAAATCCATGTTCCTCATTCCTTCTGCATCTAGCCAGTCCTCCCCTAGTACACCTGCCTCCGACTTGCAGGCCACAGGTGATGGCCAGGCTCTGAGACAGCACCATGCCGAACAAGATGCTTTTCCTTTTGGGGGCAGCACTACTGCTCAGGCACCGTCTTTGGATGCTGTTCAGGATAGGTCCGTCGAGGCTCCTGAAGAGGACATTGTATGCAGAAGGAAAGCAGGGCTGCTGCAAAGATCCCTCCCACACAGAGTGATGTGGGCTCACTCAGTCAAAGACAACAGCTTGCCACATGCTGTGGTGCCTCCTCCAGCAGATGGGCCAAAGTTCTCCCAGAGGTGGCAGTCCCTTCCAACACAGAGCAGCACTTCCTCTGACCCAGAGACTCCTTCTCCCCAGGCGACAACTCACCTCCGGATCTCAGAGTCATGCCTGCAGCTCACGCCTCCACCGCTGCTGCAGGATGATGAAGATGATGAGGTGTTCATCATGCCTTCCCAGCCTGCTGTCACTGCTCCGGCCTTCTCACCCCCACTGCCACCCCATTCTCTTCCTGAGTTGAGCTCTTGCACTTCTGCGAATGGCACGGAGGAATTCCCACCTCCTTCCCCACCAACTGCACTTGAGGAATACGGGGCAGCTGGAGACACGTCCACCAGGCTCACAGAGGACAAAGTGAGGTAAGGGAGAGCTATCACACAGCATCTCGGGCACTGTAGGGCCATATACAGTAAGATATGTGGGGCTCTAGCCAAATGTGACTGACCTCCACAGCTTGGCATTCTGCAACAATCCACCCACAGCTGCTAGCCGAGTGTGAAGCTTTGCAGGGGATTGCACAGATTATAAGGGGAGAGGGACAGACAGACAGACTCACTGCCCCAGGATTTTGCTAGCTGCCAAGAGCATTGTTAAATGATATGGACAGGTCAGGTCACAAAGAATGAAGGCTAAAAGCTTTGTGTCCATCAGCAGATACACTGACAGGTGTGTAGTGGGCAAGGCAAAGAGGGTTATAAGTGAGAAAATATCCTGCATGCTCCCTGCAATTACTGTATAGATTTCAGTGGGGTTTCTTCTCACACACCAGCATGAAGAGTAAGAATAGTTGCTTACTATTAGTTTACTGTTTTCTGAGAGAAAAGTATGAAAATTCACGTTTTTCCAAACTGTTAGAATTCCCAGAATACACTTTATATCTGGCACAAAACACTCCTGTTACGAAACAGCAACCATGTGCCAAAAAGCAACAGCACTAATATGTCACAGTAACACTGTATAGTGCATTTGTCCTGAAGGATTGGGGTAGGGGCTAAGCGCCCAGCGATCTAACTCGGCACAACTTCCCTTACTATCAAGGAGGAAAGAGGGATTCTTCCTCCAGGGAAGAGTCTGGCTAGGGCTTTCTTAACATGAAAAGGCCATATCAAGCGTGGACTGCTCAGGCTGGCATTCCCAAGTGGTGAGACTCAATGTCTCCCATGAGCACAAAACAAACTGACACTCACTGGTGCTTTCTACGGTGGAATGACAAAATGGCAGCATCCAGATTGAAGGAATGGAATGCTTCTGGTGCCAGTAGCTTCACAGTGTGGGCAAAGTAAGAGACAGAAATGAATATGTGAGAAGGAAAACTTACTTGTCTTAGGCTTTCATCATGTGTTCACAAACATCCTGTGTGGTAAGTTTATCTTCATCTCACAGAATTTTTCTGTCCGTAGCAGCTTCAAAAGCTTTTCCAAAGCCCTGGCCAAGAGGGAGATAACAGGGTTGGGCACGAATGTCAGTGAAAATAATTGGTCCTTCTCACCATCTTTATCAAAGAGGACTAATTCTTCACCTGCTGTGGATAAGCAGCACCAATCAGCTACTTCTGAAGGGCCTCAAAGCTCTAATGGAGAACCCACAACTCAACCTGAGGGCAACCAGAGAGAACCAGCAGTTATCACCACAGAGTCAGAAAATAGTGGTGCAGACTCTGGGACATTCAACACATGTCCTCCAATGAAGACAAAGAAAAAAAGCCCAGAGGATATTAAGTCAGAGGCTTTAGCAAAAGAGATTGTCCATAAAGACAAGTCTCTGGCTGATATCCTGGATCCTGACTCCAAAATGAAGACAACCATGGACTTAATGGAGGGGCTTTTCCCCAGTGGAACCAGCTTGCTGAAGGAGAACAACATGAAAAGGAAGATGACACAGAAGAAAGCTAGCAGGACAGTAGCAGAAGATAACACGTAAGCACTGTTCATTGTGATTGTGGTTAACTTTGCAGCAGAATTCGCTGCTTCCTTGCTTTAAGGGATGAGCTTGTGCAGAATATGTACTAATCATTGTAGATAGACAGTGGCAGAAGGTGAGTTTCTCTGGTCCCAGGAGCGAGGATTGGCAGGGCATTTTTGAATGACTTTTCTCATCAGTTCTTTTGTAGATGAGCTCATTTCTCCAGGATGCATTAGAAAACAATGCTGAACTTGATAGTGGGACAGGAAATGAGCCATGTCAAGTGTGAGAGTAAAATCAGGACCATAACAGTGGTGGGAAAAAGATAATGAGGGGCCTAGTTTGGGAAGGAGAGGTGGGTGTGCCTGATTGCAACCAGATGCAAAAACCAGTCCACGACCTGCAGTGTGACTACTCAAAGAAACAGACTCCCAGCTGGAGAACTAGCTGCAGAACTGCACAGAAATAAGTTGTAATGATTGATGCTAGTCTAATCATCACCAGCTGAGCTGTGCTGATTTATCTACAGCAAAGATCTGGCCCTATTTAGAGCTGTTAGCCAGTCGGTATTTAAACAAAGTAGTTGTGCACAGGAGAGACGAAAGCAGCTGACGTGCACCCTCTGCTGCTGAGAATCCGCTATTTCCTTTGTGGTTAATACCAAGGGGGTACTGAAGAGGGAGTGCTAGAAGACCGTGGATCTAGGCGTGGCAAAAAGGCTCATACTGAACTCCTTTTTCTTCGCTGTGATGTAGGAAAGAAGAAAAGGAAGCTCCTGTAACTATGGTCACCTGCCCTGCTTATTATAATGTTTCAGCACCCAAAGCAGAACTACTGAATAAAATCAAAGATTTGCCACAAGTAGGGGAGGAGGAGGAGGACTTGTTGGACATCAACGAGAAGAAGGTAAATTCAAAGCACACATCACCACTTCCTAGTTACATTCATGAAATAATTACAAACCCTAGAGTAAAGTGCATTTCTATTTGAATTCAGCATTTGGCTGATACAGCCCCAAGGTGTATGGAAGCTGGATGCATTTAGGCTACTTGAGAAGCTTCGTTACAATGATCCAGAGAGCAAAGCGGGCTAATCTGACTGCATGTTTGAGTACAAATCATGCACAACTATGAAGATGGCCTGTATTGTGCCAAAGGCTGAGTATATAGGTTGTAAGAGGCAGTCACTGCCTCACAGCAAGACAGAAAAAGGCAGAAGTGGAGTGACCTCAGTAAGGACATGCTGGCTTAGAAATAGGAATGTAGTCCTGCTAGTTACTGTACCATCTTTCTGGATAAAGTTTCACCCTATGGTTTTCCTCCTGGCAGTTTACCCATTTCACCTGTTGTCTGCACACGCCGCTTCCAGAAAAACGTTGGTTACTCCTTTTCACCACACCTTTTTGTTTCACTAATGTTCAGGAAACTGCACTCCTCAGCAATTCAGTCAGCACAACCTTGATGTGATGACTTGGGCAGGGAGTGGGAGAGCAGGGCAGGGAAGCAGGATACATTTTGCTCTTGTGCTGCAGCTATGTTTCACTGTCCACTGAGCTTCTTGCTTTAAGTTTGGATACTCCATCTTCCAGGGCTTTTGCAGGGCTCCCTAATTTGCCCCTGTAGTGTCTCCTATCGGTTACTTGCTAATTACAGATATGTTGTGAAGCTCACAAATTCCAAGGAGCCGCACGCAGGTACTCGCATGTCTGTGTCTCTCTACACAACTCCTATCTTCACGTCAAAAGCACCCAGACCTGCCTGTAAACATAAAACATTAGATGTTGCTGTGGACAAAGTGACACATCTCATAGTTCATGCTGTTTGTACAAAGAGCAGAGATTAAACAAACTGAAGGATGAAAATATTTATGCAAGTCTCATGCTGTAAACATAGTTCTTTATTTTTCCTGCACTGAAATCAGGCACAGATTTAAAGAAAGGGTCCCAAACCTTGTCTCTCAGAGCATGGGAAATTCATGTGTCTCTAGGACAGCTTCACATTTTCTCTCTAGATCTCCACTCCTACGCCAAGTGTAAAAGTGCAGAAGATGTGAGACTGTGTAGTTTGGGAGTATGCAGTTTATCCCGCAGCTCTGACATGGAGAGGTTACCTCTCTTCTTAGCATTGCTTTACCATTTCTTTTCTTACACTTTTTTGCTAAGCAAAAGTTGCTTCCTTCCAGGCTTTAATACAGTGATACCCAGAATGAGAACTCCCATCTAACACAAGAGCAGTGAGTGAGTAGATCAGCCTTAGTTGGTGGAGTGTTTGGGATGCAGGCAGGACCTCACTGAGCCTTTAGGGAACTGTGGTCTAAGATACATTTGTTGTGCTTGCCAGTACAAATATATGTGATTTCACAGATATTTAGTGCATGATGGTGCATATGTCACCAGTCGAAAGCACCTGACAAAGGCCATAGCCTGCCATGCTTATACTACACAATCAACTCAATTGACTTCAAGCCCAGCTGCCTGCTCATACCAACCTGAAAAGTAAGAAGTAGTGAACACGAGAAGAGTGCTTCTCCAAGGGGACTCTGAAAGCATCTCACAGGTTTACAGGGAGATGTGTGCCTACCTCTGGAAGACAAGTCTCAAAGATGGCATTTGCATGGAAAAATAGAAATAGATAGGAGTGACCAGGCCCATCCAGCATGTTTGTTCATGTTCTGTATGAAATATCATGTACGAAATTTCATTTGCATAGGTGTTATCTGGGAAGGCAGCTAACCTGAGAGGTGATTCTGATAAACTAAACTCATTTCCATTGTAAACATGCAAAGGGACTGGGTGTGTGTTTGGGATTGTGGGAGAGTCCCTGATTAATGAACAAGAAGTAGTCCCCATCCAGCTCCCAGACCTTCAGAAAAAAGGTACATCACTCCCAACAGACCTGTGGCCTCCTGCTAGCAAGGGCAGGAGAGCAGGCCTGCATGTTCTGCAGAGCTTCTGCAGCAGGGAGGAGTGACTGCCAGCTCTCAGCAATTCAGGCCTCCTGAAAGCCTGCTGAGGTTAATGCCAGACTTTGTGTCCACTGTACAGAATCCTGAGACAGGGTTTTCTTCCCTGCCACTGTAGTTGTTGAGATTGGCTCCATCCCTCTGCTCCTCAGGAGCTCTTAATCTAGAAGTCAATTGATAAGGATCTCAGATCTTTCTTCTGGGAATGACACTGGCATCTTAGGCAAAGGGGAGGGCAAGTGCTGGTTCTCCCAGGATCCTACCTGTTGTAGTAAGGAGAGAATCCATACAAAGGAATTGCAGCTATCCCTTATCCTAGCAGGTGGGATCTCTCCCACTGAATGCTCCATTAAGAAATGGCATGAGTTACCAGTCAATCCACCATAGACCTGCAACCCAACATTTGTTCTAGAGAATATGCTCGCATGTTATTAAGCTTTGGCATATATGAGGAAGCTGCTAGTGGACTGTAATGTGGCCAGAAAAGCACAGGCTCCAGAAGATGCACAGAGTGTACCATCTAGTGGTGTCTGCCTCAACATTACCATTTGCTTCAAAAGCACCCCAAGCCTGACCTGGATTTAAAGATACTCTTTCTTCTGAAAAAAACCAACACTTTTCTGTTTGAAATTACCAGCAGTTTTGATGGAAAGAAGGCTGTGTTAGTAAACTGTGAGAAAATACTTTCAAACAATGTTGTGATTTGCTTCTATTTTGTCCTGCAATGTTATTATGCTGAGTAGATTAGCATACATAGAATGGTGCTTTGTCAGTGCATAAATTGAAGAAATTAAGCATAACCCATCCCTTACATCAAGAGCTTTTCCTGCACTACACTGTCACTTCCAACTGAATAGAGGCAAGAACTGCAAGCCTCAGGCCATAGACTTCTGCTTTTGCATACGTCTTTCTCCTAAATCCTAACTGAAGTTTCTATCTCCAGTACACCTGCAGCACTGCTGCTTCTGGAGTAGCTGAACCCTGGAGACCTCCTTTTTTTCAGCAGTGAAACAGTTGCCTTTACTGTTACAAAATGCATGTGCTTTGTAGTTCATGGATCTGACACTAAGTACATTTAGAGCATCTTCCGTAGGAATGCTTTTCTGGTGCGTCTCAGTATAAGGCAGGGTCTGCACAGCCAGTGCAGAGATATCATCATGCTGATGATATCTCCTTGGTCAGAGCTGAATTTGAAGCTTGCATCTAAACACTGAGGCAGCCAAATAAGGAGCAGTCAGCACTTTCAGGGTACTGTAAGAGGGGGAAGTGTCCTTCTTTCTTACTAAGTATGTAACCACACATACCAGTTCAGTTTCCTGTCATGTCATTAATAATACTGCTTAAATTCATTTATCTATTGGTTGTTTTGTACAATTCTGGGTCATACAACATGTAACATCACAAGAAACTTCAGGCTGGGGCAGGGAGCTGTAAGATGCAGCATATGTGGTCGGTGTTCTTTTCATCCAGAGTCTTAAAAGAATATTTTGAAGGAAGGTACATACAATTTCAGATACATGTAGCTGGATATGAGAATATGGCACACCAAATTGGATATCTCTTTTGAAGATGTTCATGATGATAGAACAAATATATCTTTATGTAATCTTACCAGGTTATCAGATTCAGATTATCACCTGAATGTGGAAATTCAGAGTGTTCTCTGTTCCCTTCTGGCTGTCGTCTTTGTCAGCTGCTACTGACTTGACCTTGCTCCTCATGAACTGTAACCATATCCTCTTGTTGTCATCATCCAAATGAACTCTGTGATCATGGTAATGACCAGCGTGGCAATGTGTTTCCCTTCTGACAGGCTGAGCTCATCGGGAGCTTGACCCACAAACTGGAAATCCTGAAGGAAGCAAAGGAAGGCTTACTTGCAGACATCAAAATGAATAATGCTCTCGGAGAGGAGGTGGAGCTGTTGATCAGCGAGCTATGCAAACCAAACGAGTTTGACAAATACAAGATGTTCATCGGCGATTTGGATAAGGTGGTGAACCTCTTGCTTTCTCTCTCAGGACGCCTGGCCCGGGTAGAGAATGTTCTCAGTAGCCTAGGGGAAAATGCCAACAGTGAAGAGCGGGTACGTATCTGTACAACTGTAGCCTCTTGGCCTTTCTCCACTGTAACAGTCAAAAGATCCTGCTTCTGTAAGCTCCAAGACAGGTGCCTCACTGATTCTGTATGAGCCAGAGCAAACATGGTTCTGTCCCTAGGAATCTTGGTTCACGTTTGTACAAGTGTCTCAGATCCTATGGCTCTCCAAACAATGTCTGTGTTTGGCACAGCATGTCTGTGACCAGCATGTGGAAGAAAGGCTGCATGGTATTCTGTATTGTGAAGCAACAACTGCCTTTTACTTCAGTTGAAGACACATTTTAGCATTTTTTGGGTGGTTGTAAGAGACAGAGCCAGATTTTCCTGGCAGTCGCTGCTTTTGAGTAAGTTTTACTGATTTTCTTGGGGTCCTTTCTACCCCACATTGATCAGAGCATTCATATTCACATTTAGTGGGATTCACATTTAGCCCACAATGAGTAATTCATCCTCCTTCCGCAGGCTCCTGGCTGCGCGTCTGGGAACTTAGCAGCCAACTTGCCTCACCAAGAGGTGGCAAATTTGGTATCAGGGGCAGAAGAGGGGGGGATCAGTGAGTATCAGTGATAGTGCTGCTAATACTGAAGTGCTCTCTCTGGTGTGTACAGAGCTCTCTGAATGAGAAGAGGAAACTGCTGGCTGGCCAGCATGAAGATGCCCGGGAATTGAAGGAAAACCTCGACCGTCGAGAACGGGTGGTTTTGGAGATCCTGGGCAACTACCTCTCTGAGGAACAGCTCCAGGACTACCAGCACTTTGTAAAGATGAAGTCTGCACTCCTCATAGAGCAACGAGAGCTAGATGATAAAATCAAACTGGGTCAGGAGCAGCTCAAGTGCCTGATGGAAAGCCTCCCCACAGACTTCACGCCCAGGGATGCAACAGCAGCAGCTGCCCTAGCTGCAGCACTTGCTACCTCTGCTGGAGTCAATGGTAAAACACTTCCAGCAGTCTCATCCTCACTTTAACCTTTCCCATGTGGACCTGGGGCAAAGTCTTCCTGCTTGAGTCTATTTAATCCAAGTGCTGTGCAGATGGCTCTCTACAGTGACAGTGAACAGAGACAGGTTTAAAACCAGATTTCGGTGAAGGAAACAAATAGCAATAATAAGGGTTTTATTTTTCTTTCCTTCCACCACTGCTTCCTGGAAACTTAAATCACTCTGGGGGGAACGAAACTCAATTGTGTCTCCTCCTAACAGAGATGAGGAAGACTCTCATGAGAATTAAACATGTTACTTTTAATAAAAGAAAATCACGTCCTCTCTTTCCTGCTTTTCCTGCCTACCTGGCATCTCATTAAATAATGAAGGATCTAAAAGAATGAAGCCTTAAAAATAAAACCAACCCATTCTACTGAACATTATTGATATTTATATTTTTTAAAGAACAAGGTGATGTGTAAGTTTTTGTACATACTCTAATCAGTTACTTGATTCTACTTTGTTCTGTATGTAGAAAAGACATTTAATTTTGTATTTTGTGAAAACTTTAACAAAAAGAGGGAGCCCCAAAGATAGTGATGCATTAGCCTGGAACATCTCTTTGTGGTTTTGTTGTTGTTATTGTTTGTTTTTTTTTTTTTTTAATATAATAAAAGGCTACCAGAAGAAGTTTCAACCTGTTTCAACACACACTGAAGATAACTAGTCAGTGTCCATATGAGGGACATCTTGGCCAGAAAAGCACAATCCTTCCACCTCAGTACCTTGTGATCCAATGATTCTCAAGTTTAAATATGCTTTTTTGAGAGCTTGCATCTCAGGAGTTAGTGTAAAGTAATTAATCCTGCTCTGTACTCAGTGTGGAAGTTTGAGGTGGAGTCTGTTTTGTTCTAACTAGTCCAACTCAACATCTGTGTTACTGTTGCAGCTTGAATGCATTTCTGCGACATGTGAGAGGGATCTCTAATGACATTATTTATAGAACTGTATTTCTGAAGGGGAGATGTACACTAGGATTATTTTCACACAGTAGTATCTCATTTGTCTGAATCCATTTCATTAGAAACTAACTTACAAGCTACAAGAAGCATTAACTTGAAATCCTACTGTAAGGACTATTGGATTATTTCCTAATCAGTCCAGACTGGAATAACTAAATTTGCCCGACTATACTTTATCATTTTACCAAGTGCTGAAGGATTGCTGCCAGTTGGCATTCAGCAAAGCAGACTGGGGCAGACTCCGTTTTTCTGTATATTTCTATCCTCTCTAATGAGCTGTGTTGCCATTTAAATGATGTGGCCACAAGCTGCCTGGAAAGTTCACCACTGCAACTGATAAATCAGGCTCAGGTTGTCTCTTTCCTAAGCTTGCAGAGATTTCCAGCTGTAGTAGGGATTCAAGCATCTTTTTTCTCCAGAAGATTGCACTATTCATCTTGCTACCAGGAGCAGAGCAGAAATTTTAGTTGTGTAGCTTTAAGTCCATTCATTATGAATGCCAGCTCCAGCACATGTCTGAAAATTACAGCATTCATTGCTTTGAAAGCCAGTTTTAAAGCTCCATTTGTATTTTTGAATAGCTCGTGTAGCTCTACCACAGGCAGCTTGGAAGGCTGAAAAATTTACCAGTGCCTTCCTGTCGTATAAAGCATCAATTCTCCAATACCCAAAACAAAATCTACCTGGTATTTTAATGCTTTGTGAAGAAGTAAGCCAGATACCTGCAATGACAGCAAACATATCCTTTTTACTAATGAGCTTACATGCTGCTCAGGCTTATACAACGTTTTATAAGAACCCCAAGCAGGGGAACTGACTTTTTATACCTTTATAGCTGAATCAAAAAATTGAAAGTATTTTGGAGGTACTCGAGAATGATTCTTTGTTTGGGAGGATTTCAGGAAAACAGTAGGGGGAGCTGTTTCCAGCCAATGCAATCATTTAATTTTTTCTAAAAAAAAAAAAATAAAATAGAAACCTTCACAATACCTTTAATTTAGTGTATTTGAAAATTGTGTTCATTTAATTTTTTTAAAGCCATCCTTTCATCCTGCACTTACCAAAATCAGTCAAAATGACTGGCAAATCTGACAGGCTTTTGTGAACAGTCTGGGATCAACAACAGGGCCTTTTCTACGTGGCATGTTCTTTACTGAGAAAGAAAGCCCTGCAGCTTTCCCTCAGGTCAGGAAGAGCCTCCCAGCTAAGCAGGGTCTGCCTGTGTGCTGCAGGAACCAGTCCTCATTTCAGGGGCAGCATGCTGTACTGCAAGCAGCAAAGCTACCTTTGCCCACAAGTGCTGTGGGCAGCAACGAGACTTTCTCAGTATGCTGGTGTTATGCTTGCAAGTCAAGTATTTCTGAGCAGTGGGCCATCGGCCAGCCTTGTGGTGGTGGTATATAAGACTTTACTAAATAGTGTGAAGAACTATTTCTTTTGTAGAGTTTCCAGCTAAAAAGTTTGAACCTTAACAGGGTTCATGGGTTTGCAAGAAATTTAGCTATTTGGCTTGGCTTTGTGGTCTGCTAAGTTCTACATGTGTTCCCACTGTACACACAAGCATCAGCAAATGAGGCAGGTGGTAGTTATTTTACATTTTTGTAACAGCTAAGATCTTCAAATGAAGAATGAATTAAAGTTTATATTTCTTTATCATTAGAGAAACAATCTTTGCATAAAAAGATTGCCATAACTGCTGGGTTTGAGAGCTTGGCAGAAGCACATCTTGATGTATATTTGAAGGTAACCACGCATTGGCCAAGCCAGTAGATCTACTTCTTGGTGCCTTCAGCAAAAAGTTCATTACTCCTTATCCCACCTTGCTTTTCTCTCATATTCCTAGAACTGGAGTATAACAGAAGCTTAGTTCACAGAACGGTGCCGTAATTTCATGGAACAGTAGTAGAGCAAGCAGAATTGTACAGCTTTGTCTAGTCCTTTTACATTCACTGAAACAAACCTGAGTTTTGAATCGGACTATATGAGATTTTCAGATCTGAACCTATAGCTACTTGGCTTCAGTAACAAAAAAAACCCCAGCAAGCTAGATACAGGAAGCATGATTTGCATTGCTGTCTCTTCCCTACAATGTAGTGCCTTATGCCTTGTGTATATAAGAACTGGAGTATTTCTCCTTGCAGTTACAGCAGGGGCTGAGCTTTAGAGCACTCAAATGATCCAAAAATCATAGAATCTTTAGAGTTCAAAGGGAACTCTGAGGGCCATCTAGTCCAACTCCCCTGCAATGAACAGGGGCACCACATCATGTTGCCCAGGGTTTTATCCAGCCTCACCTTGAAAGTCTCCGGGGAACTCTTGCAACAAACAGTGCTTCTCAGTGGAAGAGCATCTGGGCTAGAAATGAGCATTATTTTTATTTGGGATACTGAAATGGAATGCTGTACTGTGGGTGCATGGTTTTACCAGCCTGCCCTCTGTAGAACAAGAGTGGAAGAAACTCAGCCCAGAGTACTTGGATCAGACACCTCCAAATTCTGCAGAAGTCTCTTCAGACCACAAACTGGAAGAATCCTGCAGTAGCTACCTAGTTTGTTCAGCTGGCAGTAGCCAACGCCTGACACAGGGTGAACAGCCTTACTTCTCTAGTTTGAGGCAAATCCTAGTAAAGACAAAGCAGTAGCATTTCTGACATAAGCTGCTAGTCCAGTGTTAAAGCTAGTTGTATCAAAACTATAGGACACCTCATTGCTGGCAGTGTTACGTTTGCACATTACAGTTAGGAAGACAGCATTTTACCTAGTGCTGTCTTACTGGGAATGTAGATCTCTACTTCTGCTTATTTCTTTCCTCTGTCTTTCCAGTTGAGAGTACACATATTTGCCTCTCAGGGATGCTACTGTATGATGTGCTGTATGGCAAAAGAAGGCAATGACAATGCCTTCTATGCCTTCTAATGGGATAGAGGCACTATAGAGCAATAGCAGGTAACAAAGAAAGAAAAATTAGCTCACTCCTTCCAGCAACCAGGGACAGCTCAAGAAGAGTACAATCCAGAGTGATACTGTTCCCTCAGCTGCTAGCCCTTGAATGAGGGTGAGGAGGGGTGGATCCAAGCTTTTCCTCTTCTGTTCACTCAGGTGCAAGCAGTGGATTAGCTACACCTTCTCGCCTGGAGCTCAACCATTGGATCAGGCTGTGACCTGGCAGTTCCGCTGCATTGCCTTCCCCATATTCTTTATCCTCACTCTCAGTCAGCATCTCACTTATGGGGGAAAATTCCTGTTTACCTAGTGCTAACTGGCTTTCACCTTTGAGACCTATCAGAGAAGTTACAGGGAAGAGAGTGGGGCATAATTTTTCCTGAGTTAGTGTTCCTGAAACTGTTATCTTCAATTTCCAGCCAATGTATGAGGAACCTGTTAGAAAAAAAGAAGAAAAAAGAAAAAGCAGGTGTAAATCAGTGTTGCCTCACAGAATCTTTTCTGGCCTTTGAAAGTAATCAGACTTCATTGCTGTCATTGCACCCAGGCCTAGCATGAGAAAAAGGAAGAAGATGGAGACATGCACTGCGATGCTGTCTGTGCAGTGAGGGATGCTGAAGCAGCTCTTAGTATGTCCTCACATGCTTTCAGCAACGTGATGCTCCTGCAGTCTGCTTGGCTGTGCAGTTCCATGTGATGTAATACCCTGTGAAGATCTACTCATCCGAATTACAATTTGCTTTTTTTTCCTTTTTAACAGAGCCCTTGGGCCATCAATGGTCACAAGGAATTCATGTCAAATGCTTTCCTCGAGACTAAATCTAATAAGCAGTGTTTACGCACTAGGGTCTGTTGGTTGTAAGTTTACACACAAGATCTTTTGTGATGGTTGCCTATTATAAAACCTATCACAGAGTGCTAGAACAGTCCACATGTCAGGCCTGATCCATCATACAGTCTCAGTCTCTGACATGCTTGTTTAGAGTGGTGAAGAGAAAGAAGCAAGCAAACCAACTCAGATAGCATTTCATAGAAACTCTGTGTAATTCTTGAAGATTAGCACACTGACTTGCTTGCAAAATGGAAAATGTGAGAGTTTTTCATTGGAGAGTCTGTGTTTCAGATCAGTAAGAGCAGACTAGGGGCATATCTGGAGATGTCATCCCTGGGTTTGGCCAGGTTAAATTCACATAAGAGCTGGTTCTTCCCTTATGTTCACTCATCTTGACTGTGGGTGGCATTATGGGTCGGCTGCATTCCTATAGGACTGTAGCTCGTCTCTGCAGCCTTCAGTTCATGTAAATGCAGCGATGTATGCTACCTACAAACTACAAGGCTTTTCTAACAATACATTATTGAACAAACGTATTACGTGACTGAAGATGTTTTTTGTGGCCAGAGTGGTCTCTGAGCAGGAGATGGTCCCTTCTACCCATTCAGCCAGGCTCTGCTGTCACTCTGCAGTACAAACTGAAGAAAACCTGCCATGCACAGGGCTGCCAGCTCAGGCTGCCCAGAGCCCCATCTAACCCGGCCTTGAATGCTTCCAGGGATGGGGCACCCACAGCCTCTCTGGGCAGCTGTGCAGTGCCTCGCTGCCCTCTGAGTAAATTTCCTCCTAACATCAAACCTATATCTGTCCCCTTTTCAATTAAAACCATTCCCCCTTGTCCCTGTGAAAAATGTTGGTCTCCATTTGTGAAGAATGGCTGACTGCTCTCAGCACATCTGCCTGAGTTTCTTTAGGCATTAGGAAAAAAAAACACATTTTTTTTTCATGCTCCAAAGAGAAGTTGTACACTGGAGCCTACTAGCTTTTTTCTCTGTGATTTGCAACTGGAGACCATGCCTTCCTGTCAGGGTTGCCCAAGATTTCTAATGCAAGTCACTGTGGCACAGGCATTAAGTTGAGCTGAAATAAGAACATTAGTTTAAAAAAGTAATTAAAAGCACAATATTTTTTAAAAGAAAAAAAGCATGGTGGGAGATTTTGAAGGAAGCAACAGCTTTCTGCAGGCGTCCGTTCCTTGCCCAGGCCAGTTCAGTGTGGTGAGGCGCTGACTGTGGGCAAAAGGCGGGAAGGCGCCATTTTACCTCATGGTGCCCCCAGGCACAGCTGCCCTAACAGGCACTCTGTCACTACATCATTCTGCAAAATGGAGGGATGCAGCACCCAGCTGTGCCAAAATCTCAAAAAGCAATAGAGGGGCTTGCTGCCCACCCCTCCGGAGTGTTTTTACCACTAGTGCCCGTGAGGTAACTGAGGACAGTGTGTCTCAGGGTGTCTGGCCAGCAGCCTGCAGGCAGTGCACTGCTGGGAGACGTTCACATCGCTCTGGAGCCTGCTGAAAAATGTGAGTGTGTACATATTTTTATTTCTCACCACGGAGGAAGGCTTTGCAGCCTGCACCTGTCTGCTTCCACCCACTGTGGAACAACTAGGAAGGAGTTGAAGGGAAGGAAATATGTTGCAGCTTGGCAGAGAGCAGGGGTTTGGTTTCCACAAGGGAGGGTCTTCACGTGTGGGGAACATGGTTGTGCCCATGTCCAGGGCTGTCAACACAGTGTGCTGGTACAGAGGTGGCAGCCAGGTGCTTGCCATATCCCTTGAGAAATGCTTAGACAACCATCATGGTACAAAAAAGGGGAATTGTGTAGCAAAAGTCTCCAGTGCTCAGCCTCAGAAAGGGGAGCAGTTATCAGGCAATGCAGCTTACAGTTTGAGACTGAATTTCTAAAAGTAAATGAGCGGTAGAACTTCTCACTGCCTTGTAAAGATCAGGAGCAGGGCCATGGAAACAGGAGATGGGCAGTTAAAGAACAAACATAGCTGTCAGTATACCCAGTACTTTTCCAAGAACTGACTGGAGATCACTTCCTCATTTTGCTGAACACATGCCAGTTGCATTCTTATAAATCTGTTGTTGGAAAGAAACAAATTCCACCTATTTTTGCTGTAAAGACATAAGCTAAAAGAGAACCCAACTGTCT